ATATTTTGATGCCCTTGATTATTCCGCTATTTATTTGGTGCATTATCCAGATTAAGAAAAAAGATTCATCAACATATTTCTGTTTTTTGATAAAAAATTCATCAACATATTTTACCATTCCTGCCCTGTCCACTTCTGCAATAATGTCACTTTGGGCGAAATTTCATGGACAATGTTCTATGTTTGTTTCAACTTTTGTCAAGAACATTGAGTATTTTGTTCCTCTTTCACACATTTTTTTTATAGAACTACACACATTTTCCGAGAACCTCATCTGTGTTTCTTCTTTATGATAATAGAAAAAAGGGGGAAGAAAGAACTCAAAATACCCTGACAAATTTTTAATCAGAATATATACAGCGCAAAATCTTAATGTTTACATTTACTATTATTCTGACATTCATCAACAAGTTATAAATATTTCAAAAATTAAAATTAAAATTTTCCACAGACTTTAGAATGTCGTTCTTGATTTAGCTGAAGGAATTAAATCAGAACGCATTAAATATACTAAAGTTTGGTGATAAGTTGTGTAGGATAGACTATGTTAATAGGCTTTCAATAAGCCATAATTACCTATGTCCATCTTCCACACACACACACACACACTCCCTCTATTTTCAGGTGAAATAGATAAGCATTTGAAGCATATTTCTCTATAGGTATGTTTTGTTTACATAATGGACAGTAAAAGAGCAATCTGCATAAAGCAGCAGTGTACTCTAGCTTTCTTAATAGATCCAAAAGCTGGGTTTTTTCCCCCCTGTTTTAGTCTTATATTCTCAACCCGCCATCCCTAAAAGTCAATCCTCCAGTATTGACCATGCAGCAGAAGATGGTCCACTTATACTTTATCCAGAGAATCTTAGTTTTCCCACCTTGTCTTTACATTGAATATCAGCCCGGCAAGCCCAAGACAGTGCATGAATCAACAGCTGGGAGCTGGCCGTAGCTGCATCACAAATATTTTCTGAATTGTAACTTGTCTATTTTACACTCATCTTATCCCTTCATAAGGCCTATACAAAGATGTGAACGCTTACAAATAGCGTCACACCAATTCATTCTCTGGCTCTTTATTTGGTTCTCTGCATCTCTTTGCCCCTGACATTACTCTTACCAAAAATCCATGGCTGCAACAATTACTATTGCCAGTGATTTCTCAGCACAACCTCCTGTCCATTCAACCAAAGCAGTCACTGTCAAATCATTGTCTGAATCTGGCCTCAATTCTATACCTTCCTCTTTTGCCTCAAAAAATCTTCATGATTTTTCAGTTCTGGACTCATCAGAAGACGCAATTCCCATCATCGACTTTTCTCTCCTTTGCTCGGGCAATCCCAAACAAAGGTGCAAAGCCATCCAAGATCTTGGCCAGGCTTGTGAAGAATGGGGCTGCTTCTTGGTAAAAAAGGAAGAAAAAAATCTACTTCACTGACTTAACTTTTGCAGAAACAGAATTGTTCTACTCTTTTGCACTGTATCAACTTGTTGGTCCTTGGACTTAATTTTTTTTCATCACTTGAATTAGAAAACTAGCAAAAGCATGTGCATAAAGAGATAAATCTTAGTTGAAAGAATGAGAGGGGTTGAATTGGTGTAAGGAGATTAAACTGATGTGCGTGTTATTCTGGTTAATTCACTATTCTATTTACGTAAAGAATTGATTACTGAAGTTCATTTTGTGTAGTTGATCAATCATGGTATGCCAGAAAGCCTGATAAACAGCATGATGAAAGGGGTGAAAGGATTTTTCGATCTCTCAGATGAAGAAAAGAAAGAGTTTCAAGGGAAGCACATTTTTGATCCTATAAGATATGGCTCTAGTTTCAATACTGCTGTAGAACAGGTACACTGCTGGAGGGATTTTCTCAAAGTCTTTGTGCATCCAGACTTCCATTTCCCCCATAAACCTGCTGGATTTAGGTATGCAAGATGCCACCCAAAAAATTTAACTTTTAGCTAGATGTAGGCCCCCTTTTTATGCATTGAGTTTGAGATGAGCTTATGACTGATGAATACTGCAGCAATCAAGGACATTCAACATTATGTATTGATATACTCCCTCCAGTCCTTAATATAAAACCTTGTTTGACTTTTATTCTGATCTTAGATATAAGACTCCAACTCACTTTGTCTTTCATATTTATTCATTTTTTTTTTTTCAAAATAGTCCTTCTAATAATAGTAGTTTTAGCTAATAAATTTGATTAGTAAAGATATTTTAGGAAAGACATCTATTTATTATAAATAACTAACTTAACTTATTTTCTTAATCTACTCAAATTAATCAACTAGCTCTTATATTTAGGACCGGAGCTAGTATTATTGATCAGTCGTAGTAGCCATTCATATATGAATTTACAACTTTTAAATCATTATTTTCATTGCCATGTTGGAGTGGTTATCTTATTGCAATAGATCCAACAGTTAGGTTTTCTTTTTAATCTTGTATTCTTAATCTGCCATCCCTCTTCTGACATCAGTTCTTGATGCTACAGTGATGCTGCATTTGAGTATTTGAAAAGAATCAGAGAAATCATAAGGGAATTATTGAAAGGTGTGTCAGAAAGTTTGGGATTGGAACCAAACTACATAAGTAAGGCAATGAATATGGAGTCCAGCTTTCAAGTATTCATTGCAAATCTGTACCCTCCATGCCCAGAGCCTGAACTTGCGTTGGGGCTCCATCCTCACTCTGATTATGGCTTCCTCTCTATAGTCTCAGAAAATGGCATCCACGGCCTTCAGACGTTGCATAATGGCAATTGGGTCAAACTGAATGCTCCTCCCAATGCTCTAATGGTTAACACTGCTGATCTTCTAGAGGTACCTTTTTGCTACTATTATCATCATCAACATACATATAATATCTGCATACATATAGTATACTGTTATCAGTCCCATATTAGGAAAGTTATCTTAAAGTAAGCGCCTTATGAGGTCTTAGGCTATCGATTCCAATGGCTGGTTTTCAGGATGTGGTTATTTCAAAGACTTATTCTCATTATAATGGTACTTTTGTTGAGAACTGGCCAATCAGGGAGAGCTGCTTGCCAAGGGTCCTTATTGGAAAGATTTGGGGTATGGTTCTCCAAGGACTTCTGCTTATTACACATAACAAAGACAAATATGATGGAAGTCCCTTGAAATCTAAGACACTTAATTAATAGTTCATTCATATTTGACTTGAACTTATTGTGACATTTTTTGGTTTAGATTGTGAGTAATGGGAAGTACAAGAGCAATGTGCATAGAGCAGTACTGTACAGCAACGCTACAAGGATGTCAATGGTGACAGCAAATGGCCCATCATTTGACCAACTTGTCGGCCCAGCACCTGAGCTTGTCAGTGAAACTCACCCACCGGCCTACACTTCATTGACATATAGGCAATTCTTTGAACTTTATCAATCAAATTCACTCGATAAGAAGAGTGCATTGGACCACGTTCGCATTCTGACATAGATCACCTTGCAGAACCAACCATCTACCATAAGCAATTAATGTACTCTGTAAGATATGAGTGATTATATGTATCAAAATGTGTGTGTTTGTCTGTAATTCTCATCTATCAACTGCTTGAAAATTAGCAAACCTTTTCTTCCTATGAATGTCTTAGCCACATGGCATTATTAGTCTCAGTGTCTGTTTTTTTGGAGTAACAAACTTGACAAGGTTTCAAGTTTTTTACCCAGAAATTTCTTTCGGTAAATTTACTCCCTCTCATCCTACATATGACAATTGATTGAAGGGTTTACTTTAATCTTAAATGTAATGCCTTGTTCTTGCTTTATCTCCAAATGATCATGTTAATTGCACGTACTAAAAGGAATTTTCATTAATAAAGATAGTTGATACCACAAATGATTAAATAGATGATTTTATAAAAATCAATGTACATTTATTACAAATAATTAATTTAACTAATTTTTTTAATTTTTATAAATTAATTATCTAGTTCTTATATTTAAGAAAAGATAACATAACTTTTTTAAAAAATACAATTATAAATATTTATTAAATTAATATGATAATGAAATTTATAAAATTAAATACTAAAGAAACACTACAAAACTTATACAGGGTTTGTTTGGATTAGTAATAGAAAAGTAACTTATTTACAATTTGATTTTTAGAAAAGTGAGATTGGGTAAAAATTAAATTAGGTAATATGAATTATGTTTGGATTGAATTTTATAAAAATTGTTTTGTAAAAGTTAGATTAGGTAAAAAATTGTTTAGATTATGATTGAATAAAAGTAAGTTTAGATTGTAAAATTGTCAAAATGTGCATGAGTTTCATTAAATAATGAGAGAATAATGGGAAGAATGAGAGAAAATTATTATTCTGACAATTTCCAACGATCCTGAACCCAACTGCCACTTGAAAAAACTACCTCCCCCAGCTTAAAGTGAATTACGCATTTGGCCCGATTTTGGCCCCCGAGTGCGGTCTTGTACAGGTTCTATCAAGTCCCAAACAGGCTTACTTTTTGAATCGGCATTATCTCTATAAATAACATTTAATTTAATAGATATATTAACTTGTATGGCAGTGTAATTTTTAATAGGAGAAAATATAATTTTTTATGGGGCACAAAATTCTTTCGGCCGACTTCATGGGGCACAAATGAAAGTTATTACTGTCATAACTCTCTCTCATGGAATTATTGTAACAAACTAATTAGGAGGTGTTTAGCATTCTCAAAACTGCGGTTTCAGAAATATTTTTCTGCAAAATGAGATAACCTTATCTACATATTTACTTCGTAATCCGTAAAAACACTTCTGAAACCATAGTTTAGTTTCTATCCAAACATCCCATAAACAAGCCAATGAAGCCATGTTCTTCCCTCCCCTATTTCTGTCCTCTTTTCTTCCATTCCCTATTTCAACTTTTTTTTTTGGGCAACAATTTCAACTTCTTAAAAAAAAAAAAAGAGTCCTAGAAATTACGCGCACATAGCAGCACGGTCTTTTACATCACTGGGCTGCATCAAGCTCAACCGAGAAGGAACAGCGCCAATGGCTTCTCGCTCCATGGCCTTCACTCTCAGACAGTAAGCAATACTGCTTGTACTCAGCACTCAATTTTCCCAGATGCTCTGTTTGGTTCGCATAAAAAAGACGATGAATGAAGTATAACTCACAATTTCCCTGGGTCTTCACCTATGTATCTATTCGATTTCGAAGCCCCCCCCCCCCCGGGTTTTTCCCAATTCATATATTTCGCAAAGCTGAGTCTTCCAATCCTTGGACTCAGGAATATGCAAGTTCTAAACTTCTGAACTTCGATTGTCTGATTGAATTTTCTAATTGACCAAACTGATTGGGATTTTTCTCTAGATTCCCTATCGAACTCACCCAACGGGTGTTTGTTATAGGTGGTTTCGAAATAATGGGATTGTCAGTGGCAATTATCGTTCACTGTCTATCGTCAGTGGAGCGAATATCTCTAGATTTCTCTCTTCGCGAGCGTTGGGAACTGATCTTGTGGAAGAGACTTCAAACTCTTCGGAGGGTGACGACGACCTGAGGAGCAGACTGTTCAGGCTGAGGCTACCAAAGCGAAGCGCCACCAATGTTCTTCAGAAATGGGTCAGCGAAGGCAATCACATTTCGGGGTCCGAGCTTCGGGAAATTTCCAGAGAACTCAGAAAATCTCAACGTTACAAACACGCATTGGAGGTTTGGTCCTTCTCCGGATCATTTTCTAGTATGATACATATCTGTCATGAAACTGGGGGGAATTTAATAATAATGAAGAACTGGGTTTTATAGGTTTAATCTTCAGAAGCTCTACATGGGCACTATAGGTCTATTAGGGGCACTTAGAAATCGTTTTGTGGATTTCCCGGGTATGATTGTCACTTTTGAATTAAGGGTCAGTCTTTTTATCAGAATTTTGTATTTGTATTGCCCACGTCTCGTGTCAATATACCCACCTCCACACCAACACTCCTCCCTTCCTCTCCCATACAGGTGTTTAATGTCTACAATAGTCTAAATAAATGGCCAATCTATTTTGCTATCGCGGCTCCATGCCAAGTGCCAACACACTCCCGCTCATGTAGGCTCTTGGTTTGCCCTAGCCTTGGTATGGGTCCAAGGCTTTTGGAAGATTCGTGCATGAATCTTTTACTCCATCTTGTTAACTTCCTTCAATGAATATTCTTGAAACTGTCTGATTTGTTACATATAATGCCTGGGCCGTTTCACTATCTAGTTTTATTTCCTATGTTAGCACGAAAGAAGATTCCAGATGTGATTCTGGAGACTTTGATGACCAAATTTTCAATATGGCGGGTATATTTATGAGAAAAGCCTTAGATTTTAAGTGGTCTTTAATTAGTATAGTTGAGTTATGCTATCTCGTATTCGTGTTCAATCCTCCCATTTGTGATTGGATTGATAGTAATGTTTATATGTTGATGCTGTTTTCTGGCAAAACCATGAAATAGTAATGATTTAGGATCTCAGGTTTAGTAATTTGCATTCTTTTCTCATTTTCCTCCTCCACATTCCTCTGGCAGGAACTATAAATATGACCTAATTGTCATGCCTAACTCTAGGCATTCCATGTGTATGTAGTTGAAAAATAATATTTTGAGGAGAAAGAAAGAGTTTTAGGGGGAACAGAAGGTAGGTAGCAGAAGATGGAAATTAGGAAAACCAGAAGGAAACAGAAACTGTAGAATTGTAGAGGAACAGAAGGGGACAAGAGTACATAGGCTGAATAGTGCACTTTCATTAATACGGTAATCAGTCATACATTTGGGTATCCTTGTTGTGTATTTATAATGCCATAGGTCAACTCATAATGCTATCCTTACAAACTTAAATAGAAATACAACAGAAACTTTGTCCTAAATGACTAACGTCTAGTAACCGTTTACCTACTCTTTAAAATATATAAATTTATTTACAATTACACATCAGTGTAACCCAAGAAAGAACCCTTTTTTCCTCCCCATATTGACTCTGCCAAAGATATGGCATGTTGAGTTCTACATCTTCATGATTATAGCTTTTACCATGTATAAACTTCTAAGTTGTTCAAGTCCTGCAGCAAGGTAAGTATAAGGAGAAACACAACACTGAAGAGAAAGGAAATATATGAATAAACTATATAACTATCAGGAGGGGCAAGAATTTTAGAACTATACTAGCTTGAAATCCAAAAAAGAAAAGAAAAAATACCTGATTTGTCTCTGTGTCAAGCTCTCTTCCGTGCATTATCTCTGTTCTTCTCAACCTCAAATCCTCCAAAGGCTGGTAGTTAAGTTCTGGCTTTTCAGGGTCAAATCCTCCAAAGGCTGGTAGTTAAGTTGTGAGTTTTCAGGGTCTTTCCAAATTTGTATCATCAGCTTCTTTTCATGATTACCAGATGTCATGAAATCTGACTTGGCAATTGGAGATCACAGATCTGATTTTCTATAATGTTTTAGTTTTGGAATATGATCTGAATGCTAACTGACTGAGTACTTACTGACTATTGATGATTGCAGATATCTGAATGGATGGTTACCCATGAAGAATACGAGTTATCAGACTCCGACTATGCAATCCGCATAGACCTTATGACCAAAGTTTTTGGCATTGATGCTGCGGAGCGCTATTTTGAGGGCCTACCTCTCTCTGCAAAGACAAGCGAAACCTATACTGCCCTCCTTCATTCATATGCAGGAGCCAAATTCACTGAAAAGGCTGAGGAGCTTTATCAAAGGATAAAAAATTCAAACCTGTCTTTTAATGCCCTCATGTACAATGAAATGATGACTCTATACATGTCAGTTGGGCAGGTTGAAAAGGTCCCATTGGTTGTTGAAGATCTAAAACAGCAGAAGGTTTTACCAGATATCTTCACTTACAATTTGTGGATTAGTTCTTGTGCTGCTACTCTTAATATTGATGAAGTTAAAAGGATACTCCATGAAATGAGTCATGATGCTGGTTCTAATGAAAGTTGGAAGAGATATGCTGACCTCGCCAATGTATACGTTACTGTGGGGCATCTTGATAATGCAAGCTCCAACTCACTTGTCGAACCTGAGAAAAGGATCACCCAAAGAGAATGGATTACCTATGACTTCCTAATCATACAATATGCCGGATTGGGAAGTAAGGATAAAATCGATCAGATATGGAAATCCCTCAGAATGACTAAACAGAAAATGCTTAGCAGGAATTATATATGCATTCTTTCTTCATATCTGATGCTAGGTCACATGGAAGAAGCAGCAGAAGTTATTGATCAATGGACGCAATCTACAGACACAGATTTTGACGTGCATGCCTGTGAAAAGCTTATAGGTGCATTTACAGACATGGGGTTGACTGAAATAGCTGACAACTTCAATAGAATTCTCATCCAGAAGAAGCTCAATTCGGAAAATAATTGACTAAATTGATAGTTCTGTTGACATTAATAAATGTGATCCGAGCGTCAAACAGTTTGTAGATTTCAGATTAATCTTGTGCTGACATGAAGAAGAGAATGTATTTATATATTATTTTCATTTGCAGTTCATTGATCCATCTTCAACATGTATCCTACGGGTTGGAATTGGGTGACAGTTTTGCATTGATTTGTTGAGATGTAAGCTTCCATTGCTCCTCAATTTTATGCTGCTGCTGCCAACTGTCATCTTGCATGTGGAGAGCCTTCAAATTTTTCATATTTTTATGATAATTCAGAAGTAGCATTTAGAATTATTTGGCTTAATATAATTGTTGGTCTTTACATATATTTTGACTTATTAAAAATATATGGACTGTTCATTAAACTCAGGCCAAAAGATTGTGGAATTATAAAGATCAAAATCAATTATTTGAAATTACAGGAATTAAAACTAAAATTTAATTAAATTATAAGGACTAGCAATAGTATTAACCGGAATAAATTCTTTTGGATCTTAATGCATGTTGCCTTTTTCCTTCTCCATTGATGACTGGAATTGGATCCTCTGCAGCTCGTAACTTGCAATTATCTCTCCAGTCAAATCTGAACCGTCCAATTTATATCTCAAAAACGCCGGTTTATGTTAGTGTATAAGACTTGCGTTCCTTGGCTTTCTTTACGTACGCCGATATTTCAAAAAAGATTGATGTTTAGTTTGCTTCCAAATTCCAGTCAATTACACAATAATTCAACTTTTTGGCACTCGTGCGGACCGTGGCCTTTTTTTCTCTTATAGAAATGAAAGGGAATAATATGTGCCTTCATTTTGGTTCCCAAGATTTTTTTTTTTAAAAAAAAAATCAATCGGACCTATACATGATACATCTTTTAATCTTAAATATAAAAGTTAACTGAGAAGTTTGTTTTAATTCCAAATATAAAATACTAATTCACTTTGTTTTTTAAATTTATATTTTCTGCCTAGATTATCTTATTAATTGTATATATTAAAGATGATTTGAATCAATGAAGGTAATCCTAATGCAAATTATTAAAGGGACTGTTGTAGGAAAAGCAACATATAATTTTTTTTTTACAAGTAATGAGCCGAACTATTTTTCGTTGTCTTTGTAAATTAAATTTTCATTATTTCTATATGTTAGCTCCTGTTCTTAATATAAGAGTTAGTTGACTAATTTAAATAGATTAACAAGATTAGTTAAGTTAATTATTTGTGATAAATACGTGTTGTCTTTCTTAAAATACTCTTGCTAATGATATGTATTAACTAGAATTACTATTTGATGAAATATTTACCATGTGTAACTACTACAAGAACTACTTTGAGAAAAATGGATAAATATGAGAGATACAGTAAATTGGGATCTTATATTTATAATCAAATTAAATGTCAAACTAATTTTTATATTAAAGACATGGGGTATTATTAAGTATCTAACTTTAATATATAAAACCATATTAAAGGGAAAATGGCAAAAAAAAAGGACCGCAAAATAGGAAAATTATAAATAAGGACCGTTGACAACATTAGTATAGGTTTTAACAATAATAATGTGGATTTTGATAATAATTTTTATAAACCGGTCTCTGTACGTAGTTTTTCTATTTCTGCGATCTTTTTTGTGTCATTTTCTCTATATTAAAGGCATACATGCCGGATGATACGTCTCTTTTGGCATACAAAAACAACAAATGGCACAGAAAGATCCAAGCTTGGTTATACAATTCATAAGGGTGTGGCTCACGGCGACCAGACATGTGGGGATAATTGCATCACACATCAAAGGCAAAGGACAATAGGACATGGCTAAGCCTAGGCTCATGGCTCATGAAAAGTTAAAATGGAGGTCCAATATTGGTACTGGTCTACTAATCATTCATATATTCTGGGCAAGGAAATATAAAACTTGTAAATTATTTTGAGATTTTATATTTATATGTATAATTCAAAGAAAACCTCGGTTCCAAAATGTCTGAAAACAAATTAAAGTGAAATTTAAAAATAAATTTGGATAAAAAATACAGAGTCGTAGATGGTGATTTTTATCTTTACATCAAATCGTATATGCAATACCAGAAAACCATGTGTTATATCAATCAATATTAAATGTCAATATATTACTATATACTCTTCCGGTCCTAATTATAAGACCCAATTGACTTATTTGAGGAGATTAAGGAAGCAAGTTAAGTTGGTTATTTATAATAAATAAGTGTTGTTATTCCTAAAATATCCTTGCTAATTAAGTATATTGGCTAAAACTATCATTATTAGAAGGATTATCTTAGAAAAAAATGCATAAATTTAAGAGACAAAATGGATTGGGTCTTATAATTAGGACCAAATAAAAAGTCAAATTGGGTCTTATAATAAGGACCGGAGGAGTAACATACAATTGAATTTTTTTTTTCCCTTAAGAATTCGTGTAGAAACATGTCTGTATATAGAAAGAAATACAACTCTCTTGGTGTAATGTCATGGTAGCCAAACCCAACCTGGTTTGGCTGGTTAAACCAGTGAATTGGTTTTCTACTGACTGAGGATTTTCGATCACTTGATCGAATTGGATTTTATTTATTTTTCTCTTCCGCTATTAAGCTTAAAACAATATTATTTTAAATTTAAAAAAACAGTAGCTCATTATATTTGTGCTTTATTAAATCTTTTGATTGATTATGTGTGGTTTAGATATAAATATTCTATTATTTGTTAATTAATATCTTTTTATTTAGACATTACTTTTTTCAAAGTTATACATAAATTATTTTTGTAAATTTTAAATTATATTATATTATTCTAAATTACCGATTTAATTCAAAATTAATCTTAATTTGGATGGCTGACCCTTGAATTATTGCTTTCGGTGATATATAATTGGTTCAGTTTTTGGTACCTTGTGTAACACATATCAAAATGTGTCCCAAAAAAAAAAAAACAAAGGGACCCCAAATTACCTCTAAAGGGTGACATGTCAAAGGGAGAACAAAAATATCTTATATTATTTAATTTTTATTTCATACAGAAGTACCTTGAATAAATTAATTATAAGGCATGTCATTAATTATTTTTATCACTAGCTTCTCATTTTACCCTTCATCGTTGGTATATATTATTTGATTCAAAATAGGTATATTTGATAGTTGCAAAGTTGCAAACTTATTTTGATAAAAGAAAAATGTTTTTTTACCTGAATAAAAGAAAAAAGTTGGAGGCATATTAAATTTTTAGATAGATTTAATAAATGTTAAGACTTTTATTGATTCTGATAAAATATATTGGAAGACACCTATAAATAATACTGAAATGGTATATATTTATCCAAAATATAATGAGGGTTTTTTTATATATTTTTATTTTTAGCAGGATGAGGATGAGGTATGGAAAATTAATTGAAGTGTTACATCAAATTAAATGAGATTGTCGCGTAACTACTGGAGGGGAGAGTCCACATGCAATAAATGGGATGGTAACCTTTTTTTCGTTTGTATTTTTTATTTCATTTAATAAGAATAATAATATTAATAATTAATAATTCTATTTGCAATATTCCATATTCCATGGCCCTCATGCACGTACGTTGATGTGATAACTACAGTCTTCAATGAAATAGCAGTCCAGATAGATTTTATACTTGTTTCAGATTGCTTGCATTAATTTCTCTGTGAAAAATGTCCCAGAAAACGAGTTGGAAATAATCCATAATTTTAAATAAAACAAAGCTTTTTTTAAAAAAATATTTTTAGTATATAATTTTAAATCACTTGGTTTGCATTTTTCTGCTTCATTAATATCGTCTATTCCCCATGCACATTTGTTGGCAAAAAAAAAAAAAAAACCATTTCCGTTTAAAGAAGGCTTATTTTAATTATGGGCTAAAAAAGAAGGCAAATTTTGATTAAAAAAATTGAGCTCCCGATGGCATCATTAGTAACGTCTTTTTTTTTTTAATAAATTATATACTCCCCCCTGTTGTTATATATAAACATCTAATAGCAATTTTACATCGATTAATAAAGTTAATTAAAATTATTTATTTATTGTAAAAAGTAATCCTCAATAAAATTCATAAATTTAATTAGAAAAGTTTAGTTAACTAGTTAAAAAGTTTTATAGTTTTGACCAGCATAAAAAGTTTTATAGTTAGTTACGGATGCCAGGTGAAAAAAATTAATGCTATAGGTAGAGCGTATTATATTATAAAATATGTTGAAAATCTTTACCGAATTGAGCATGAGATATTAATGTCTTTATTTCACTGCGTATTTTTTTATTTATAAATACTTTTTGGATAAAAACACCTTTTAAAAAAAAAAAAAGGTCAACTTTTTCGTGGTTGTATGTTCCTTTCCTTTCTTAATACTATCTCAACTTCGAGTCTTGTGGATTAGAAAACTTATGTTAACAAATTTTAACTACTAGATTGGTCAAGTCCAATACACGTCGCAAAAATGAATTGGTATTTATAAAAAATAAAAGAGTAAATATTTGTACAACATTTATAAGATCAAATTGTAACTTCATGAAATGTAAATGATAACTTTTACTTAGAGTCTTTTTTTTTAAAAATTGAATTTTTAAGTTTCTTACAAAATAAATTTAAATTAGATGTACTTAATTTCTCAAAATTTGGCCCCTTGCTCTAATACTGATAGTGAGATCAAGCTACTTATGAGTACTTTTTCTGTTTTACCACTTGATAGTGACTTCATTGATGATGGAGTGATAAATTCCTGATTATGGTTTTCATCAAAAAAGAAACCAAAAGGGCCAAACATGTCATTGGAAATCGGCTTTCACTGATTCTGTTCATGGAAGAAAGCATCGGGATTGCAATAAATTAGGGAAGAAAAACAAAAGAAAAGAAAAACAAGGTAAAAAGGAAGGTGCTTTTTCTTTTATAGACATGTATGGGTCATATCATTATAACAAACTGTCATCTTACTCAAACGAAATGATATCTTCTGGTTATTCCATGAATTTTCAGAGTTGAAAGAAATCACAAACCCAAGTTTTATCCCCAGGAACATGTCCAAGATAGATCTTCAAATTTGCTTCAAGAAGCCGACAATTTCAAGATAATTCCAACCACCACCCCATGTGGGTTTTGTTTCCTCTTCTATCTTCTTCTTACTCTTGATTGTCTCCGTTCACTTTTCCTGATTCAGAGCTGCTTCCCCTGGAAAATCCAGCACAGTAACATTCTGGGAAAATCTCGGTTTCAGCATGTGGGAATCGGAGAGCGAGTCAGCTTCAGCAAGGGAATATGGGTCTGGCCTTCTCACTTCAACCAATCAACGGGTCAAGACTGATGGGATTCAGCGAAGAGGCCACTCTTGGTGTGTCAATCTGCAAAATCTTCTGTGTTTTTTTTTCTAGCTTTGTGGTGTATTGTCAAAACCATTGATTTATCCACCTTTCAATCTTGAACAACTCGGGTTGAGAAGGACTACAGAAGATTTTGATGATCATAAATAGCTGTTTGAACATTTAGTGTCTTCATTTTGTTTGTAGGTATGTTGATACTGATGTACCAAGTGACTTTCTTGTTCTAATTGGAGAAGTTAACTTCCACTTACACAAGGTAGCTTGTTTTTTTCAACTTTGAACAACTTTAAATCCTTTTATTCTTTGTTTTTATGCAAATAGATCAAATACTACTTGGAAGACAAAGTAGAAAAGTAAATAAATATAGTGACGATTTGTTGCTGTCAAATTCTGAGACCTTTTCTCTCTCTCTCTCCTTTTTGGCTCTGTGGAAGTATCCTTTGCTGTCAAGATGCGGAAAGCTAAACAGAATCGTGAATGAATGGCGCGATCCGGACTTGAATAAGATAACTATGGAAGATTTGCCTGGTGGAGCTGAGGCTTTTGCACTTGCAGCTAAATTCTGCTATGGAATTGCTGTTGAATTAACAGCAGGCAATATTTCAGGCCTAAGATGTGCTGCTGAGTATCTAGAAATGACTGAGGACCTAGAAGAAGGCAATCTCATATTCAAAACTGAAGCATTTCTTAGCTATGTGGTTTTGTCTTCTTGGAGAGATTCCATAGTTGTGCTGAAGAGCTGTGAGAAGCTCTCGCCATGGGCGGAGAACCTTCAGATTGTTCGAAGATGCAGCGAGTCCATAGCTTGGAAAGCTTGTGCCAACCCAAAAGGAATAAGGTGGGCATATACTGGAAGACACCCTAAGGTTACTAGCCCAAAATGGAATGGCATGAAAGATTCAAGCCCTAGTGGGAATCATCAGGTTCCTCCTGATTGGTGGTTTGAAGATGTTTCAATCCTTAGGATTGATCACTTTGTTAGAGTCATCACTGCTATCAAGGTAAAGGGTATGAGATTTGAATTGATTGGAGCTGCAATAATGCATTATGGTACCAAATGGCTACCAGGATTGATAAGTGACATAACAACAGCTGGAGATGAATCAAGCAACTACAGTGTAAGTGATAGTAGTAGTGTTGGTGGCGGCGGTAGCTGGAAAGGCGGACTTCATATGATTGTGGCCGGAGCCAGGGATGACTCTTCAAGCAGTCTTCAGGCTAAAGATCAAAGGATGATCATTGAGAGCCTCATCAGCATAATTCCACCACAGAAGGACAGTGTTTCATGCAGCTTCCTTCTTAGGCTATTGAACATAGCAAACATGCTAAAAGTTGCACCAGCATTAATAACTGAATTAGAGAAAAGAGTGGGAATGCAATTTGAGCAAGCTACACTGGCTGATCTTCTGATTCCTTCTTATGGTAAAAGTGAGACCATGTATGATGTGGATCTTGTTCAGAGGTTACTAGAGCATTTTCTTGTTCAAGAAGTAACTGAGAATTCGAGTCCCCCTCGGCTGTCATTTTCAAACAAGAATGCGGCTGGTAACATCAATGCCAAGACAAGAGTGGCAAGACTTGTTGATAGTTATCTTACAGAGGTATCCAAAGATAGAAACCTTTCCCTCACAAAATTTCAGGCACTTGCAGAAGCCTTGCCTGAGTCAGCAAGGACCTGTGATGATGGACTTTACAGAGCAATTGATTCCTATCTTAAGGTAATTAATTCTTGTTTCCATGAGAAATCAGACAAGGAGCCTATACTTACTCTTTGGACATCAAATTTCAGTAAACCAACAAACTATATGCATCTTACCATTCAAGTTTGATAAGTAAATTTATACATCACTTTGAGAATAAAACTGTTATTGATTTGAGACATAAACAGTCATTTCTTGAGAAGCATTGACCTAAACATGAACATAAACAAGGCTACAGAACTAATTTTAAAGCTTCCAAACGCAGTGTAAAGTGTCACGTTGTTTTATAGACGAAGCATGCGGCAGACACAGATCCAACTATTCTTTTTCTGAAGTTTTGATGCTTCATAGGTCATTCCACGGTTAGCTAATGACTATCATCATGAGAAGCTGAGATTTTGAGGAACTTTTAATTGATTTGTGTTTGCTCATAATTGCAATATGGCTTTTATATACTGAACTGCTTATCTGTTGGGGGGGGGGGAATTAACAGGCACATCCAGCACTTTCTGAGCACGAAAGGAAGCGGCTCTGTCGCATAATGGACTGTCAGAAACTCTCCATTGATGCCTGTATGCATGCTGCACAAAACGAAAGGCTTCCATTAAGGGTAGTGGTGCAAGTCTTATTCTGTGAACAGGTAAAGATAAGCAATGCATTAGCCCATACATCTCTCGGAGATGACATGGAACCTCACTACTACCAGCCAATGATCATGAACCGAAAAACACTTCTAGAAGGGACACCACAATCATTCCAAGAAGGATGGACAGCTGCGAAAAAGGACATTAACGCGCTGAAGTTTGAGCTTGAGAGCATGAAAGCCAAGTACTTGGAGCTTCAAAATGACATGGAAAATCTGCAGAAACAGTATGATAAGATGGTGAAGCCAAAACAAAGTTCAGCTTGGAGCAGTGGTTGGAAAAAGCTGAGCAAGCTTACGAGATTGTCAAATGCTGAGAGTCATGATGTTGGACAGCAGATTCCAGCTCCACCAGAACCAAACAACATAAAGGTTCATAGAAGGTGGAGAAACTCAATATCCTGAAAGACGAGAATTCTCAGTTTTATTATATGATGATTCTTATGGTCTCTCTGGGTTTTGGATCCTTTTCTTCCCTTCTGTCACATCTGATTCCTTTTTCTTTCATAGTGGCTTCTTTGAATTCTTATAGCTGAATCATAGGATCATTGTGATTTACCATAAATGTAAATTATATCTTCTTCATGTTTTCCAATTATACTTGAATCACTGTATAATTTTGCAGAGTGTGGCCTTCCATATGACAAAATGTGCATTAATTAAGAGAAGCAAAATGGTTGAGTCTGGCTTTTGACAATGTGCTTGGTGACAAAAAAGAAAATATGAAGAGGAATTGAAGTTAAAAAATTGAAATATAGTTTGCACTTGGGACAATGGCAGTGTTTTTAAGTTAGGAATCGGAATGAAAAATGAAAAATGGGCTTTCCTTAGAAGCAATTTACGTGTTTGAAGTGGATGAAAAACAAAAATATTTGAACATAAAAAATGGAAGGCAAATATCTAAATGACACAAATATCTTTTATAACAAAAGAGATATATGGTCATAAACTACATAAAAAGTATTACCTCTGGTTTTAAATATAAGACTTCGTTTGTAGCATAAGACCTCATTTATAGTCTACAAATGAGATTTTAAGATTAATAGTATAGTAGTATTATATTCATCTTTCACATTATAATTCCTAATAGAAGGGAGTGATCTTTCCTTAGCTATATCAAGGAAAGACATCGCATATTTGGTGAAAATGGTCATTTCAATAAAAGAGATATTATGTCTTAACAAGCATATTAATAGACATTTTTTTTCTTTCTTCTTTTCTTGAAGTTCCTTTCCCTCCTGCCAAACGTGCCTTGCGGAGGAAAATATATTCCATTTGTCATATTTTTTTTTGGTGTACTTTAATTATATATGTACAAGTAATAGTAATTTTCTTAAAACTTTTAGATACGTCAAAAGAAATTAACTCCACCTCAATGTTATTATGGTTTTAATGTTACTATATTCTCAAAATTTTAACTTTAATAAAGTTATATTATTTTGATTTAATAAACATTTTAAAATGTACTTGTTAATATTATTAATATTTTTATTCGTCAACCTCTGCCCCTTTTCTAGTGAGTGAGTTTTGATTCACAACAGTTTGACTTTTTAGAAAATTGAACTTCTCTTTTCATTATCGACTTATCTCAAAATTTGTATGTATAATAACAAAAAAAATTTGCATAAACTTTTGAAAAGGTGCAACTAAATTTCCTTTGTTATTCCTATGCAATGAAAGATAGAACATAGGAGGGCCTTCAAATCAATTTTTCAAGAAGCACCAAATACTGTTTATTATCATGCTAAATGCCAAATAATTCTTCATAATTATATGTTCACATTATAAGACCCCATTACTTATGTTATTCCAAAGCTCTCAAAAAAGAAAAAGAAAAAAAAAGTGAAGACTTGGTAGACCCTACATTATAATAATTGTACCTATTGGCCAAACAAAATTATTGCCCCTAAGAAACTAATAATTCAGGATTAGTCAATTCATCCCACAGTATATTAACAAATGGCAAACAGGAGGAATTTTTTTTTTTTGTTGATCAGTAAGTTGTATTTTATTTTCATATAATTTATTTAATTCAAAATTGTATTACTTAACCAATAATGATTGGGCCTGACAGGAAGAGTTAGTCCCTCAGATATTATCTTAAGTGCTTGTTTGGTTTGAAGGAAGTAGAGGGAGAGGAGGAGAGGAAAGATTTTAATAAGCTGGATTTAAAAAATTAAAGAAACAGGGTTTTAAAATTTTAATAAAGAAAAGATATAATATAAAAGAGTAATAATAATTAATTAAAAGCTTTTAACCTATTTTTTTAAATTTTTTAAATCAAACTCATTAAATTTTTTTCTCACCCTCCCCTTCTTCCCGACCTTAAATAAAATTGTCAAAAGCCCGCGCGTACACACACATATATGTGTGTGCGCGCGTGCATGCCTAGTAAAAAAAAAAAAAAATCTTGTCACTTAAATTCCCCGTCATGTGTGTAAGGGAAAGCAGCCAGACCACGACACAAATATTTGACCAAATCATCACAATCGTGCACTCAGATTATGAAACTGCGAAAATGACATTTGGGCATTTTTAAAATGGACTCATTTTATAAACTTTCTAGAAACTCTTCTGAAATTAAATTTCTTTTTTTGTGAAATAATCTAATTACTCTCAAAATTGCTCTCACTATCATATATACTTGTCATTTAATAAGTTGAAATTGTTACTTGTTAAATTATTTTTGTCATGGAAGCAATGTTTATTAAATTAGTTATGTTATTGTTATTTCATGAGTTAAAATTGTTACTTGGTAAATTATGGTTGTCATTTCATTTTTTTATTTTTCAGATTTCAAAATTAAATAATTTTGCTACAAAGTTTAATTAAAAACTAAAAACTATGGCATTTTGGACCAGTTATGACCACAATCTGTCTAAAATCAGACTCATATGATCACATCTGGTCTAAATCATAATTTTTACACTTGTGGCAACACCAAAGTCTAAAAAAATATGACTTTCTAAACTTGACTTAGGAATCAATCTAGAAAATACTTGTTATACTTTTTAAATCGATCTCATCTATATTAGTTTTAAAATCAGTCTAGAAATCTATTTCAATTGATCTAAATCATTTTTTATTTTTTGCATTAGTGAGCGTTTATGTCATTTTGAGATTCTGTCATAGCTCTGGGATACATTTATGCGTCTTTCTTCCGATTTTTAATTAAATATGACTGCAAATTCGGAAAAAAAAAATTTTTTTTATGAAAAAGTCTTTCGAGAGATGAATAAATTTCTTTCACAATTGAATTTCAAAATTTTTAATCCACAATTAATTTGTTTTTGCAATAATAACAAAAAAGAAGCTGAAAATTACTAAATGCCAAATTCAGTGTTATCAATACTAAATAAAACCTGATTTGCGATTTAATAATTTTCACCTTTTTTTATCATTTTTCTTTTGCTTTTAGTAGACATCTTTTGTAACTTCGATTGGAATGAGGTAAACTAAAATAAGAGAGATAGCCTAGCATTTACATCCTAATTATCCATACGTACTATTCATTGCATGAAAAAAAAAACAACTGGAAAATGAGACCTAGAAAGCACAAAATCCCTTTAATTCACCCTTGACATTAAATCAAAGTCGCCTTAACTTGATATTGCAAACCATGAAGAGGCCCCTTCATCTCATGTAGAAACGTGCCCCAAAAACTCTTGTGCTTTTGAATTTATGCCAGCATGGCACTAGCCCCACAACTAGAAAAATGAGTGAGAGATAAAAACTAAAAAGAAAAGAAGAGTGAGGCTTCCTTTCATGAGAATTAAGGATGTTCGAGTAACTTGATAGCCCAACTAACCTAGTATAGTCTAATGAGCACACAAATTCAAAGGAACATTTTATTTTAAAAGGTCAGTTTATTAGAAGAGAGAGCTCTATAAACTTATAAATGGCATCCCGATATGAAACCAATTTGATTAAATCCATGTAAGGAAATACAATATGTAAATGAGACTAAAAAGGCGTTTGGTATTAGACAAAAGTTTTTTTAAAAATTATTTTTTCATAAATCGAGATAAATTTTTCCACATGTTTACTTTGTATACTGTAAAATTATTTTTAAAAATCATGGTTTGATTTCTATCTAAACACTCTCTGAGTTGACATGGGTAATATTATATGCAAACAAAGGTGAATCCACTTTTATCTTTCTATCTCTCTCTAATGTCATGCTTATGAAATTTTTACACTCCAATGAAGCACACCCCCTGCTTCTTCTCTCTCTTCATTGCTCATTGGATCCTCTTTTCCCATGGAGGGATAAGGGACCCACCTCCCACCTCTTCTTTCTCTGGAGGGGGATGCAGGTTAAGAATACAAGTGCCACAAAATCAAGAATGAAATGAAAGGGTGAAAAGTGGGACCCCTTACCTAACAAGAATGCATTTCAATCAACAGATCTTTCAACGTGTCCTCCCATTTGCATACGCTATGTTCTAGCCCCACCATTGTCATCTTCAATATGATCCATCCGTGAACTTTATAATCTTTTTCCTCACCAAAGTTGAGAGATAATGATTATGGTCCCCCTTTCTAAGATCTGTCACTGCTTTTGTTCCTTGAGGATGATGATGATGAGAGAAAAAAAATTAAAAAAAAAAAAAACAATAATCTTTGAAGAATTCAAAATTTTCTGCCATAATAACTGAGTTGAATTGAACAAAACCTTTTCAGATCACTTCCTCATTGGCAACCAAGTGACCAACAATGTCTGCTTTTTTTGAAATGCTTTTTTCTACGAAATTTGAATGTCATCGGCCATTGAATTCACTTTTTTTCAGAGTTTTCGTATCAGAACACATTATGTCAATGACATACTCGCAGGTTTCTTTTAACTTCATCAACTGTTTGATTCTCACGATACTCTTCTGCTAAACTATGTTTTAATTCAGTAGACTTGACCCATATCAAATTAATCCCACGTTAACGTCTCAAGCTTAAGTGAACTTAGCAGCAGAAACTGGACCCTGATCAAGAGGGAAGCCAAGCCTGTATAACACCCCTGTCTTATCAGTCATCACCTTAGTGGTTAAAGTGGGGGGAAAAAAGAAGTAATTTTGTTCTGCAAAACATAGAATTTGGATGGCTCCACTTGTATGTGTTTCTACTTTCTACTGTAATAGAGGATTTGGTCATTTTAAAATACAAACCAGGATATGTTATATGGCATATTCTGATATCAGATATTCAGGAACAAAGGATTAAAACGGACAACTACTAAGCAAAATGCTGCAGAATCAATCTACTTACATGCTTAAACATATCACCAAAAAATCCAGCCTGAAAAGTAAAAAATTTAGGAGAAGAGAACTATAAAGAATAGGGTTGAAGCTTGATTGATGATATTTCCTCTTTAAAACAAGTATTTCTCAGGATTTAACAAGCATCTCCATTGAATAATATAGGACGCAGAAATCAGCAGACTGAAAAGTTACAGGTAACCCCCCAAAAAAGAAAAAAACAGATAAAGATCCCTTTTTTAATCAAGCAGAGGTATCTTGAACATGGAAATAGCACAAAGAAAACAAGTGCAACAACAAACAACATGTTACTGATCTGATAACAATTGTTTGATTCACCTTCAATCAATGCCATTTGTCTGAATTGCTGACTTGTTGCTTGGCAGACCGTAATGTCCTC